AAACGGTCACCAAGAGGCACTCCCGTGGACTTCGTTTCTGCTCTGGGGATCGGCGGGATGGCGTAAGCCACATCTTGTTGAGGTCCCTGCCGCCAGCTCGCGCATTAGGATACGAGAGGCAGAGAGATGTGTTCCGGAGGTCGAAGAAGAGAAAGGCGGCGTGGATACCAGCAGGAAGAAGAAGACCATTACAATCCTGCCGAGACACTTCGCCATCGCAAAAAGCTTCATGAAGCCTTTGTCGACCTGGAGCATCCGACAACGTGGCCGAGAAGAGATGTCATCCATCAGACTGACATCTAGCGAGGCAGATCCATTCCTTGAAATGCCATGGTCGAAAAATAAGACCCATCATCCGCTTACTCTGACTGGTCATGCAAATTACCGCGGGCCCTGAAAATAGTCACAGTCATGACAACCGTTATCGGCGGCAGTCTCGCCTGCAAGCACCATCGTCGTCTAACTGAGCGCCTTTACCGTTCCCCTTTTGCTCTTCTGGTCTTCAGCTGGCACTGCTACGCGTGCGCACGGTCCCGAAAAAACGTAAAGAAGAGAGGCGCACGAATCGGGGGCGTCCAAGAGGGGAGCGCCCAAGAGGGGCGGGCGCAAATCGTGGCCGGCGGCATGTGCGCGGCCCCTGGGGGGCCGAGGCGCGCACGGAAAGAAGGAGAGGCGCCGTGAGACCTGGCGACATCTCATGGCCACCGCCGTGAAATCCACCCTCCCCCCCTAGCCATCACCCAACCCCCTGGCCGCCCCCGAGGGAGGAAGGGCACCTGCCCACGCCCCCGCCCCGCGAGGGGCCGAGGTTGGCCTGGAGTCCAGTCTGGCCGGCGTGCCGCCCGTGCCCCGGCCTCTCGGCGTCACAGCGTCGACCGTCGACTGTCGGTGCCGTGGGGGCGCGCGCGCGCGCCGCGCGCGCCGCGCGCGCCTGCCTCCGCTGCCACCGCAGACGCGACCAAGGACCGCCACCACCGCGCGCGCTCACGCGCTGCCACCGCCGTGCACGGCAACCCCACTTACACACGCGCACCACGCAAACATCCACAGACACCCACACACTCCCGCATGTGTCCTGGGGCCGTCCATAAACGGCCCGAGATGAGAGATGCGGCCTGTGACCGCAAGCTAACCGCGGCACCGCGTCCACAACGGCCATGAAGACGCCCGAGGGGTCCCGGGCGCAGGATTACTATTCATTAGTTGTGCGGGCAACTTCTTTGCGTCTCCGCATCGCACTCAACTATGCCTGGGTATAGAATATAGAATCTGCCGACCCCCGCTTGCCTGGGGTGCGAAGGCGTGTGAGATGATTGGCTGCCCCCCTCCCCCTTCCCCACTCCCCTGGGGTCTGAAACTCGATTCGAAGGGGGCGGGGAGGGGGCGGTGGGAGGGAAGTGGGTCTCCGGGCTCCTCAACGCTCCCCCCGGGCCTCCTGAGCCTCAATTTCTGCACTCCGTGGCCTCCAAGGTGGCCAAGACTCCATCTAAGCTTGCTCCAGCTGGGCTCCAACACGCCGCGGAGGCCTCTAAAAAACCAAGATAGCCTTAAGAAGGTCCAAGAAGCCTCCAAGACGTTCCCAGAGGTCCGTGAGAGGGTCTCAGAGACGACGGCCTAAAAGAGCCCCAGAACGGCCCCAGCGACTCCCAAAACGGCCCAAGAGGGCCCCAAAAGAGCCTCGAGGGGCCCAAGAGGGCACTCGAACTTCCGTTCCGGGCCCTCCGCCGAGGACCCCGAGACCGCCAGCAGGCGCCCAACGGACGCCCCAAGAGGCCCCCGAGAGGCCCCCAAGAGGCTCCCAAGAGATGCCGCAGAGTAGGCCCTCCCAGGCGGTTCCCGAGAGGCAGATGGGCCCGACCCGTGGACCTCGCTTCTCCTCGGGGGGTCGGCGGAGCGGCGCAGGCCGCTGGGATACGTCGCAGCACCTTGGATTCCCTCCTCTTACCAGCCTCGAACGTATCCCTATCCCTAAGATTGACACGCCAAAAGGCGATGACAATCTTAGGGATTCGCCCTCAACAAAAAAGGGAATCCCTAAGATTGGCATCGTGATGAGGAGGTGCCCAGCATAGGGATAGGGTTATGTTCCAGGCTGGTAATCCTCCGCGCTCGCAGCCACGAGGCCCTCGCATCCAAAGTACTCCCACACGCACCTGCCGTTGCTCGGACGTCCGTTTCCTGTGCATGCTTCGGTTTCGTGCGTGCTATGTTTGCTCGACGATGGTCCAGGATGTTCTCGCCGAGGAAGAATGCACACGTCCGAGCGAAACCGAGCGCACTCCAAGCAAAACCCTGCAGGGCGGCCAAAACAAACGATGTGAGACTGCTGCGGCCCACTTTGGCCACCGTTGGCGCGGGGAGTGCCCGGTGGAACGCGCACCTTCCGCACAGCGGCTCCCCGCCTGGAAAGAACGGCTCGGGCCGAACCGCGGGGCCACCACAGGGCCGCTGGGGCCTACAGGTGAGTCGGGCCTGTCCTCCTACAGGGGGATTTGGGAGGAAAATTCGCATTTAAATAAAAAAAATGTCAAGAAAGATTCAAACAATAATCCCCAGACTACGTTTTGACTATTTTTGGGAAATTCCTCCTGTAGAGGGACAGGCACGACTTGAGCCTACAGGTGCTTCACAGAACGGCACTCCCGTATCACAAGCTGCCACCCCGAAGATTCCGAGAAACCACGAGCAAGCTGCGCACGGAACTACCGTCAAGCACACACGGACGAGGAATCGCTCTACAAGGACAGCAGGGGGTCAAACCCTGAAGCTGCGAATCTCCGCAGGGAAGGCTGCCAGAGCGCTCCTCTTCCAGGGTCCTGGCCGACAGTCCAAACGCTCGCTTAAAACGGCATGTGTTTTAGAACTGAGTTGAGCTTTGCTTGCTGTCCGCTGGGCCAATCCCCCGGAAGCCACCAGGACGTCATCTTTCGAGCTGGTTGCGAAGGCAGCGGCGAGGAGGCGGCCACTAAACCCCACCCCCCGAGGACGCAAGACTAGCGCAAGATGAGGTGCTTGGCTGTGTTATCCTGCATCTGCTGATCCGCCTCCTCACAACCCATCAAATGCTCCCCGCGACCAAATGCAAAGCATCCTCGGAGAACACCACCTTGAATTCAGCTATGTTCAATAGCCCCCGGGTGGACTCCTGACGCGAGGGGAGCGACTTGCACATGTTGTCACGCCGCGTTCTCCCAACCCTCACTGCGCAGAGTACATGGAAAACGAGGTGGCGGACACACTACGCTAGCAACCAGGAACTCGAGCCGACATCTCGCGAGAACAGGCACAGGACGTACGCAACGTGTCTTCGTGCCATGCGCGCACGCGCGCCTCGATTGCCCTCCGTCGAGCGGACGGGCCGCGTCGAGCGGACGGCGAGCGGCCGACTGGCGCGGCAGCCCGAGCAAAGGAAGGAGGCGGAGCAGCCCGAGCGGAGGAGGAGAGAGGCGGGGCCACGGGAGCAGGGCCGCAGCCCAGGGCGGTGCGCCCGGCCCCCCCACGGGCCCTCCGACGCAGCCCACGCACGACAGCTCACAGGTCATGGTACGGCGGGTTCGTGTCGTGCCAACCCCAGCGTTGGCTTTTGACATCGCAGGGACCGTTCAAACCTGAACGATCGGCCGCTGCCGCAACGTCCGATCGTTCAACATCGATCGATTCTGGGTCGCCGGCGGCGTTCAACCTTGAACGCCCGCCCTGGGGTCGCCGCTGGTCGACACGACGCAAACCTACCGTAATAGAAAGCGCAGTACGTTTAGGTCGGGCATGTCCCCCTACAGGCGGATTTGGGGCGAGAAATCAAAAACAGCCACCCAAGAAATATTCCAAGATGCTGAAAGAATTATCAAAAAATCGTACCCTGACTATTTGTTTGACTGTTTTTGAATAGTCCTCCCGTAGAAGGAAAGGCCCGACTTAACAGTACGTGTCTCATGTTTCTGCTCGCGATCTTTCATGATCAGAAACGGCTTCAGGCGCTCGACGCTCCAAGAATGCCCACAAGGCGGCCCCCAGGCCATCTCGGACGACATCCAGGCGTTCTAGAGAGGCCCTCGCGAGACTCTCAGCTGGACCACAGATGCCAGATGCCCCAGCACCATTCCAAGACTTCCCCAGGAGACGCCAACACAATCCTACGCCTCATCCGGATGTTTCCACACCTTCGCGTTGTCCCCATGCAGCGCAGCACAAAGACACCATGGCATCCTGCAAAACCTGAGAGAGAGAGAGAGAGAAACAAAAAAAAAGAGAGGCCATGCCTCCTGCCCAGGGCCTCCGCCCGCGGAGACCCATTCCCCAGACAGCTCCTGCACCGAAGGATCCCTTGCCTGCGCTTGCAGGGGCGGCGCGGGCCAGTGCCCGCCCCACCGCCGCCTCGCCGCTGCCTCGCGCGGACTTGCGGGGGGCTCGGCCGACGCTGGCCCGTCGCCGCCTCGGGAGCGCGCTGGGCCTGCCAGGGCGTCGCCCGAGGCCCGCCCGTCACCGCCCCGTCGCCGCGCGCACCGGCTGGCTCTGACCAGGCTTCGCCCGTCGACGCCTCGTTGCCGCGCTGGGACGTTCGCCCCCACAGAGTTCAGGACACAGCCTGCAACCCACGGGGCAAACATTCCAAGATAACTTGACTCTACCCTCTTACCTCTCACCGAGGCCGGGCTGATCGACACTCTCCACAAACTGTGCAGTATTCATTATGAGCGATCGTTCACTGCAGGTGGACAACAGTACCATACCAGCCAGACTGGTATCGGCCCCCACCCCTTCGTGCCTGTCACATACCAGAACGCGGGGCACACGTGTTGATCTAACAAGTGCGCATTGTTTGAATTCCAACCGAATCATACGGGCCACACGCGCGCGCCGCATTTCCAGACTCCGCTCTTCAACAACCACAATATGAAGCCCAATGTTCCTCAAACCCGTATCCTGCCAAAATTGTTCCAAGATGCTTCCCATATCATTCCTTCACATGACACACGGACAAGGGACATCGTAGCTGCGCCTCAACTGATGAATATCAAAGCAAAAACAAACGTTGTCGCAGCACCACAGAACAAGGCTACGTCGCGGCGGTCCTCATAATATAAATACTTATCAATCAAGCTGTTCAATAGAGTCCCGCGGGCGCCTCCACCGACTTTCCAAAACTGCCGCCTGTAAACAAGCCAATGGCTAATTCCATAAGGCAACGTCAATAACAACGCAAGCAAAAGCAGCTCCCTGACTGCAGACCACCGGTCTGCTGAGCTCATCTCGCCACTCCAATCCGTATCAGCGATGAGCCCGATTACCATTTTGTTTACCGTAAGATTCAAGATGAAGATCGCGTTCTTGACCTGGTCAGCCACGAGGATGTAGATCGACCCAGGCCTCCCCTGCATCATCCTCTCCCGCTTTGTTTGCCTCCTCCTCCTCCGGAGGAGGAGGAGGAGGAGGTTCAGGGGGGTGTGGCGTATACACAGTCTCGGAGTCGAAGCTGTGTATGCTGGTTTGTGGGCCCCCATTTACAGGAATCCCGCATCAGGAGTGAGAGGCATCGCGGGCGGCATCGACACCCGGAGTGGCCCCCCTCCCTCTCGCCCCTCCCCTCGGCGAGGACCGTCATTAGGCCTCGTCGGTGAGGACCGTCATTAGGCCTCACACCCCTCGCAGCTTCCATCAATGGGGTTGCGAGGGTTCCCGCTCCCACCAGTCAACCTTCCATTTTGCCGTCAATAGGCACCGGAGGGGGCCGAGGACCCCCCTACGGCCCCTCGGCCAACGAAGACGGCCGTAGGGGGGGGGCCCCGTACCTCCATCTCAAGGCATTCGTGCCACCACCTACCAATCCAGGCACCAATTGCCACCCACCACATCTATCCTCCTTTGGGCCGTGAACGGGATTTATTCCCCTGCCGGCTGATTGTGCCTGTCAATGTCAGTCAACCTTTACATTTTGGCACTTGGGCCACCCCAGCAGTGCACCAAGGGTGACGGTTCGACCCGTGCTGTAGTGGCACTCATGCGGTCGTGTCCCTCTCCCCGCCCGACTAGGGTGATGGTTCGACCCGTGCTGTAGTGGCACTCATGCGGTCGTGCCCACTCCCCGCCAACCAATCGAGAAGACCTACCTCCAGGATCCCTTGGGGCCACAAATCTACGTTTGACTTCGGTCTCTGTCCCCCCCCCTCTCTTCCCCGTCCCCGCTCTGGCCCCTTGCCCGCCCCCTTCGTCCCCCCCCCCCGCTTTCCTGGGCCCCCTCCCCGCCCCCCCCCTCTCCCCTTTCTTGCCTCCCCGTCCCCGCTCTGGCCCCTTGCCCCGCCCCCTTCGTCCCCCCCCCCCGCTTTCCTGGGCCCCCTCCCCGCCCCCCCCCTCTCCCCTTTCTTGCCTTGTCTCTTCTCCTTCTCCTCGTCCTGTCCTCCCTGCCCGTTCTCTCCTCCCTTGCCTCTGTCTTGCCCGTCCCCGCACCAGCATGTCTGGATCGCGGGGTATGGTGCCGGGTTTATTTTCTGTCCTTTTAGGGCTGCCCCAGTCGAGGATCCCGCAAGCCCCTCGCCTGCGCCGCGCGCCGTGCTGCCGGCGCACGTGGGGGATTACTCGCCTGGGGTCGAGTTCGACGCCTCGGTCGCTTCGTCGTCTGGGGCGCCTTCGCGCACCTGGAGTGGCATCCAATTCCTGGCGGGGGCGATCGACCCTCCTTTTCCTGGGTCCTCGTGGACCCTGGTCTCCGGCTTCTGGTCTGGTGTGCGGATTGGGGCTGATTCCCCAAACGATGATGGAGATTTTGACCCCTCCCCCACGCTTTGGCCGGCTCCGGGGGTCCTGGTACAAAATGGCATTTCCCACCTTGTTCCATTCCCCTGGGGAGGCATGGGACTTTATCTTGGTGGGGATGCGACTTCGCGACCCCGCCCCCCTATCACCCCACCCTTGTCCGCCCCACCACCCGTCGATGTAGTGAAACATTTGTCCTGGTGGTTCCGGGGGGTGTGGCGTACACACAGTCTCGGAGTCGAAGCTGTGTATGCTGGTTTGTGGGCCAGAGTGGCCCCTCTCCCTCTCGCCCCTCCCCTCGGCGAGGACCGTCATTAGGCCTCGTCGGTGAGGACCGTCATTGGGCCTCACACCCCTCGCAGCTTCCATCAATGGGGTTGCGAGGGTTCCCGCTCCCACCAGTCAACCTTCCATTTTGCCGTCAATAGGCACCGGAGGGGGCCGAGGACCCCCCTACGGTCCCTCGGCCAACGAAGACGGCCGTAGGGGGGGGTGACCCGTACCTCCATCTCAAGGCATTCGTGCCACCACCTACCATTCCAGGCACCAATTGCCACCCACCACATCTATCCTCCTCCTCCCTCCTCCTCCTCCTCCTCCTCCTCCTCCTCCTCCTCCTCCTCCTCCTCATCCTCCTCCTCCTCCTCCTCCTCCTCCTCCTCCTCCTCCTCCTCCGCCCCTCCTCCTCCTCCTCCTCCTCCTCCTCCTCCTCCTCCTCCTCCTCCTTCTCCTCCTCCTCCTCCTCCTCCTCCTCCTCCTCCTCCTCCTCCTCCTCCTTTTCTTTTTCCGAGAAGGGCCCCTGATCGAGTTCCTTCCACGCCCCTTCCTCCCGCACGCCTCCCAGCTCGGCCCCCCTGCCGCGCCGGGCCCGCCGGCCTGCTCTCCTCCGCGCTGGCGGACCTTCTCTCCTCCCGCCTCCCGAGGCAGGGCGGGCCTCGGGGGCCCCTCGCCGGTGCCGAGGCAGGAGGAAGGAGGGAGGGAGGAGGGAGGAGAAGGAGGGAGGAGGGAGGAGGGAGGAAGAAGGAGGGAGGAGGGAGGAAGAAGGAGGGAGGAGGAGGAGGAGGAGGAGGAGAAGGAGGAGGAGGAGGAGGAGGAGGAGGAGGAGGAGGATGGAGGAGGAGGAGGGGGAGGAGGAGGATATCCTCAACCGCAAGGTCGCGGACGATCTGGGGCTGCGTCCGCGCATAGAGGACGAAGAGCGTGAAGTCGGTGCAGCCAAATAGAAAATCCGATATTCCAAGTTGTTGACTTAGAGGATGTAAAAGTAGCTAGGAGGCCGATTCAAAGTTATTGACTCAGAGGATGTATAAGTGCAGATGTTGTTCGACTTCCTCTAAGTCAGTAACTTTAGATATAGGATTTGCACGAGGCGGGGATCAGTCCACATCCACCGCCTGGGAACCGACGTCCTGGTGCCCCAGCGGGCGGTGGATGTGGACATATCTCGGCCCCCGGGGGCCCGAAGACGTCCACGTCCACCGCCTGCCGGGGTCCCCGAGGACTGATGCTCCAGGCGGTGGTCATGCACAAATGCCCCCGCCTCGGAGAGGGTGGGCCGCAGGTCAACATCGGCAGGTCGCTGATGTTTTCCTCTCGGCGACAGAATCTAGCCGTGCCCACCTTTCCCAACAGCGTCGGGGCAATCCTGGCCCATCGACAGTTGCTCGGGCCTGCACTGCCTTGCATCCGAATCGAGGTCCACTTCCCCATCCACCCCGCGGTCAGGGCGAAAGATTTCGAGCACACCCAGCTGAGCTGGCTCAAAAGGAGAGGGGGGGAGATGACGCCACATCTCTTCATCGGGCCACGGCTAATTCTTCATTGACAAACGCCTTGCTGTGGAAATTGATGTGACACAAAGGGTACGGCTCAAGAGGACGTGCTGGAGCTTCTGAAGACCTGGGCCGGCACGGGAACGGAAACAGCATTTCAGGAACGTGCCCGAGAGGGCTCGTGGCACCCTTCGCTCTTGGGAGCCTTGGCGTTCAGATTGTCATTCCGTCACCGCTCGCTCTTGGGAGCCTTGGCGTCAAGAGCTGCTTACGTCACCGATTACTCTGGGGAGCCTTGGCGTTCAGAACTGTTTATGTCACCGCTCGCCCTGGGGAACCTTGGCGTTCAGAGCTTTCTGCGCCACTGTTCGCTCTTAGGAGCGCGTCCGAAATTGTTTACATCACCGACCCGTGAAAAAAAAGGCTTTCCAGTCACCTGGAGCTCGTGGGAGCCGTTGCCTCCAGGCTGTGTCCGTCATTGTGCCGTCTGGGGGCGGGAGCCTTGGCCGTCGTTGGGCCGTCTTTCGGCCCGATGGCTCACACAACCGTGCTTACTCAGGAGCCTTGGTGTTGAGAGTTTGTAACACGATGTTGCCAGAATCAGGCCAAAACGTTTCCGATATCTGTGAATTGGGATTGTCCGGGCCTTTGGGGGGTCCTCTGGGGGCCCTCTTGGGTGTCATGGGGCCCTCTTCGGCCGCCCTGCGGCCCTCTTGGGCCGTCTTGGGGGGCCTGGGCCGTCTTGGGCACTCTTGGGACAGTCTTCGGCCCTGTTTGGGGCCTTTTATGGCACTCTCGGGGCTCTCTTGGGAGCCTTTCGAGGCCCTCTTGACCCCTGGGGCCTTCACCTTTAACAAGAGCAAGCCGACGCAAGACAGGTAAGAAGGCTTGCCGCCAACTACAGGAGGCGAAGAAGCACACACAGCGCGCCTGTCACCTGCGTGCACGGACAGGATCCGCCGACTGCTCCTGGAGGGGGGGGTAAGCTGGTTCCGGCAGAGCGGGGCTGGTACCAGCCATTCCTGCCCAAGAAGCACATGGACGCCGTCCAGGCACGGATACGGAGAGCTCTCCGAGCACCAAAGATGAGTTCACCCGACCTTCGGATCGTAAATAGTGGCCACAGGCTGGGCGCCCTGTTCAGCCATGGCAGCCATGGCCCGGTTGGCACAACGCAGGGGGGCCCGATGGGCCGCTCTCTTGCGAGGAAGCGCCACGCGCGGATGGGCCCGCACAGCCAACCGCCTGCTCAAGCGCTGGGCCTGGATCCCCGCGCAGGGGCAAAACGGCGACAGCAGCTGGGAGTGGCACCACCCGCAGCTCTGTACCACCGTCAGCCTCGACCCTGGTGCGCGGAACTGGCGCTAGCGTAATAAACTCTGCCATATTCAACACGAAGCGTGGAGGGCTACCCGCTGGAATCGGTTCAAAAGAAGCAAGAGACGCCGCGCGGCATACCTGCAGGGCGTGGACTACGATCCGCGAATAAAAAAGACCCTCGCAGTGTCCTGCGGCTCTGGGCGGGAGCAATGGTCAGCCCGCTCGGTGGGCACACGTGATGCGGAACGACGGTCTTGATCCCTGCCCATGGTGCCAGGACCCCACGCAGGATCAACGACACGTGGTCTGGCTGTGCCCACAGTACCAAGCAGCAACCCTCCGCCCAACGGCAGGGCCAGGCGATCGCCTTCAAGAGCGGCTTCTCTGGCCAACCGGCGAGGCCAACACGAGAACGACAGACGAGGAGATTTTACGGTGGACACGGAGGCTCGACGGGCTGCTGCTCTAGCACAGGCAGGGCGAGGGGCAGCTACAGCAACAGTAGCCCCAGCCACACCCCAGGTGCGAGTTCATCGAGAGGAGCTCGCACAACATCAACATGTACGCCCCTCGTGCGCAAGCTCGGTCTTCCAAAACCTGACGTGGGCGTCTCGTGTGCGCCGCGTGGGCTTGCTGACGATCCCAGCTGACGACATAAGTTTCACTACGCAGCTTGCGCCAGAGAAGCTGTTTCCTTCACTGACGGGGAATGATACTCGACAATCCCCACACCCCAAGGCCAGGGCTCGCGCTTCCCATCGTTGCCTCATTGTCTGCGTTGTGTCGTTTCGCAATCACTCCACACAGCCGTTGATCCTGAAGACAAGATGGTTCCATGCCAGCCAGGCTGGTATCGATCCCAACCCTCTTTATCAGCCCCTGCAAATTACCCTGGCGAAGACCCACCCAATCCTACACTCGTGGAGCATATGAGCAGGACCGCTCGATGCACAAGAACTCGTTGGGGGGGGTCGAAACGTGTGAGGGATGTGCCGACGTGGACCTGAGTACGCATGCGAGCCCTGCCACTGGGGCCTTCGGTGGAGCTCCCCATGGGGCCACGAAACGTGTGAGGGATGTGCCAGGATAGACCTGAATACGCGTGCGGGCCCTGCCACTGGGGCCCTCGGTGGAGCTCCCTGTGGGGCCGCGAAACGCGTAAGGGGCATGCCGAAATGGACCAGAGTACGAATGCGGGCCCTGCCACTGGGGCATTCGGTGGAGCTCCCTCTGGGGCCACGAAGCGTGTAAGGGGCATGCCGAAATGAATCCGAGTACGAATGCGGGCGCTGCTATTGGGGCCTGTGTGGAGCTCCCTAAAGGGCCACGAAACGTGTCCTCCGGTGGAGCTCCCTATGGGGCCACGAAACGTGTGGGTGAGGAAGAGGAGAGGAGGAGGAGGAGGAGGAGGAGGAGGAGGAGGAGGAGGAGGAGGAGGAGGAGGAGCAGGAAAAGGAGGAGGAGGAGGCAGAGGTGGGGCGCGGCGCCGCGAACTCGAAACGAGGACCCTGCACCCAGGAGGGCCGGGAAAAACACCGCGAGGGGCACACGCGTTGATCGGACAAAGCACGTGCTGCATCCTGCCCTGCGCATGAAGACCCACGCGGGCCGCACGTGGGCGCCGCGCGCGCGCGCGTGCCAGATTCGAAATCCGAGCGACAACCACCTGTGGACTTGTCCAACACAATACCAGACTTCTGCGCGCGCACGCGCCGGAGTCCCAAGAATAGTTGCACGGATTGGCCATGCCATAAACCGAAAACAGAAAGGGCCACGCGCGCCCGAGCGTCGAGAGCGTTCCACCGTCATCGCGCGCCCGCAGGCTGCGTCAAGCAAGACAAACGGGCCACATGCGCACATCGCCGCGCGCGCGCCTTCCAAAACCCCTGGTGTCCTAGGCATTTCAACACAGAGGTGTTCAAGCACATCTGACGACCCATTAGCTCTTCAGAAAAATATGAAGATCTGCGGGCGCACCTCCTCAGCATCCTCATCAGCACAATCGATATCATCATCATCATCATCATCATCATCATCATCATCATCATCATCATCATCATCATCATCATCATCATCATCATCATCATCATCATCATCATCGTCAGCAGCATCGTCATCGCCGTCATCATCACCATAACCATCGTCATCACCATCGTCGTCATCATCACCGCCGCCATCATCGTCATCGTCGAAATTGACGCCGTTCTCAAAAGTTCCACGCGCGTGTAATTCTTCATCATCCTCACCGACAACATCATCATCATCATCATCATCATCATCATCATCATCATCATCATCATCATCATCATCATCATCATCATCGCCAGCATCATCGTTGCCACCGCCATTATCATCATCATCAGCTTCATCACGATCGCCATCGTTGTTCCCCACAGTCGTCATGAACAGCACGATCATCACCGTCATCTTCACTATCCCCGCCCAGATGAATGTTACCAACAATGAGCGGGCTGAGGATGCAGTGATTGCACGAGCAGTGGAGGTGGTCATGCTCGGACGCGGTCAAACCTAATTGAACCACATAGGTAGCATCGCATAGTTTGCGACGAATAGCTTGAACCATGTGGCGTGCATAACATAAACGTGTTAACCAGCGTGGACCCCACCGTGTGTTCTAGCAGGCTGAGTGATGCAAACTATGTGGTGCAAGCTATGTGGTACAAGCTGTGTGAAGCTATGTGGTGCAATGTACGTGGTGCAAGCTAGGTGTTGTAAGCTGTGTGGTGCACGATATGTGGTGCAATATTTGTGGTCTGAGCTGTGCGGTGCAAGGTGTGTGACACGACCTATTCGGTAGGAACTAACGTACTGGTCTAGGTGGTGTCAGGTATTTGGAGTCAGCTATGTGGTGCCATCCATGTGGTGCGATCGATGGGGTGTGCGCTATGTAGTGCGATACATGTGGTGCAAGCCAGGTGGTGCGATCTACGTGGTGTAAGCTGCTAAGTGGTAAACACATATGGTGTAGACAATGCAGGGCGACTCAACGAAATGCAATGCGATGCAACGTGACGCAAATCGATGCAAAGCGATGCAGCGCAACGCAGAGCAACGCAAAGCATTGCAAAGCCATGCAAAGCAGTGGAACGCAATGGAGAAAGCACTGCGAAGCCGGGAGAAGCAGCGCAGAGCAGCGTCGAGCAGTGCGGCGCAAATGCAGGGCGAGGCGGCGGGGAGCAGAGCGGCTCCACGCAGAGCAGCGTTGCGGCAGCGCAGCAGAGCAGCGCCATCCATGGATCGCAGTGCAGCGCTGAGCAACGCGGTGCGGTGCAGCGTGCCGCGGGCCCCGACGGCGACGGGGGCGGCGACGGCGACCGCGTGGCCGCCGGGCCGACGGGCAGGCAAAGCCCCGTGGAGCGGCAGCAGGGGCCCCGGAGTGCAGGCACTGCCTGCAGAGGAGGCAGAGCTGTGCACACACCCACGCCGAGTCTGGCCAGGCCCAGCCTGGGCCCAGGATCGGCGCGTCGACTGCACGCAGGGAGTGACCCTGGGTAGGAGCGGCCTCTGGCGCGCGGCTCTCTGGGGGGGCCGCGGGGGGGCCGAGCCTGGGCGCGCAGGCCGCTGCTCCTGCCTCGTGCTTAGCCATCTGGGGAAGCACCTGTGCCCGCACCAAAAGGTCACTCCGGCGAAAGGTCACTCTCACGTCTCGCCGAGTGCACACGCCTTCGTGGCCTGGCCGGGGAGGCACATGGCACCGATCCCGGGCCCCAGGGCGGGCCTGGCCGGGGTCGGTGTATGTGCACAGGTCTGCTCGCCCGAGCTTGAAGAAGCTGCACATGGTCCGGACTACAGACACATGCACACAAGTACAGTCGGGGGCTTGACCTAAGGAACCCAAAATAGGGAAAGAGGCCCCTTTGTTCCATGGGTTAAACTTCGATTTCCCGTCGAAAACATGAGGAAAACCTGAGGCAAGCTGCGAAACACTTAAGGAACGCGGAGCCCCTCCCCAACGAAAAGGGTTCCTTCTTCAGGGCCCCGACTGTATGGAACGCATCTCATGTGTTACACTACCGGAGTTGGGCCCCATACAGTCGGGCCGCTGAAAGAAGGAACGCTAAATAAGGAACGGAGCCCCTTCTTGGCCCTGTAAGCGCCTCCGTGCCCCGGGAGGGCAAGAGGAACAGCACTGGAGAAACCTAAGAACGTCGAGCCCCTTCCGAACCCAAACTGTTCCTTATTTCAGCATATTGGCTGTATTCCGGACTACAGACAAATACACACAAGCATGGAATGCATCTCATGTGCTACACTACTGGAGTTGGACCCCATAGATTACGCACTCAGGGTGCGATCACCTGCTGTTGGGGGTCCACGTTTGCAGACAACATGGGTACTCTTGCCATTTAGTATGGCATACCTCAACAGCGCGCGCCACTTAGGCGTCATACCACTGGTCATTCACATGCTCGCCCCCATTAGCACACTCGGTGTGAACCTCCAGCGGGTATTGATGACCATCGCTAAAGCCTCAAGGAGCGTCATGACCAGCGATAGAAGCGCCACGCTGCGTAGATCTGATGACTGAAGTTCCGATAGAATGGCCACGGCATCATCACAAGAAGACGTGTGATAGAGCGTATCCCTGTAGCGGCGGGAAGGTATCCTCACAAACGCTGGACACCAGACCCCCATGGGAAACAACGAACGCAGGACAACCCTGCTTCAAAGCATGTGGAGAGCTTTGGAGTTGGAGATAGCCACCCACACGTGTGACGCAGTTGATTCACAAGTGACCTACATTGTCTCGCAATCAGCACATGCTTGGTGAAAGAACGATTGAATTGGACGTCGAGTATGGAACGTCGACTGCTGGCTCGCTCCACATGTTCACCAGAGCTGGTCACTCCCTGGATCACTGGCGTCCACTCGAGGCGAGGGCCTCAATGGGATGCGAATCCAACTTGCTGCTGGGGCGAACGGCGACGAGGAGTTGACCACATCCCCGCCCCGTGAGGTAGCACTCTCCTCCCCTCCCCACATCGTTTGCTTGAAAGCGAACTTCCAAAACTCCATCATCATTTCGAAATCTCTGCCAGTTCTCCAATTGTCAGTGGTGTAGTCTTCCTCTATTTCCTTAGTGGCACGTCTTGCTACGAGACGCTCAAACCAAGCGAGCAAGCGCAAACCAAAATGGGGAGGAGGTACCACTGATGTAGACTGTGAGCACAGTGGGACGCTCGAGCAGCCGCATCTCTCGTCGATAGCAGGGCAAGCACCACCGATTCAGCATAATGGATTGAAAACTTCTGAACCCTTCAATTCGCACACGTTGGCCAGCCCAGAGACACCGGCATCCCCATACTACGACCGAGCATACTCTGTGCCACTGCACCATGCTTCACCTAGACTTCCAAAAACACTTCTACCCCTGGCCTGCCTGAAAGTGATATGTGGCCTGTCAGGGCTGTCTCTATGGCAACTTGCGCTGGCTGGCCCGGCCTGGCCTGCTGCGTCCGCCTGTGCGAGAGAGCCATGGCTCAAACAACATGCTGCCCAAATTACCCGTTTGGGGTCTAAATTAAACGTGCGACCCATCTTGCCCGAACGCACCTGGGACTTGGTGACATGTACCTGTCAATTTGTGGCAGACGGGCGCACTGTGCTGACTTAGGCATCGACATGCTGAGACTGCATGGGCACAGATGGTCCGAGCCTACTTCTGCTAGCATTACACGGTGTTCAAACCTGCCCTGTCACCTCCTTCCGTATGCGGCCAGAAGTTGGCTAAACGTTAGCCTGCGTCAAACCAAGCAATCATCAAGGCTAAAGACATAGCCCGACACAAGGACCAGCAGTAGGGGCAGGAGAAGCGGGACGTGCGGTAGGAGGTAGCAGAGGTGGAGGGAGAGGCGGTAGGGGCGGAAAGAAGGGCAGAAGCAGTGACCAAGAAGAGAGGGAGAGAGGGACAAGCCAGAAAACAGCAAAGGCTGCGGGCCTTTCTAAATTTGGCAGACGGGAACCAATCGTCATCTATGATCTTCACTCGCATTCTGCGCAGCTCAATGCCAAGAGTGCAGTGCTTGGGGTTCTCCAGCGCAAGCTTCGCCTCCACAATGTCGTTGAACGAATCGTTATCCCGCAACTGGACAGCGCATAATGATAAAGGCGAGCGGACAGACCGACTTGGGGACAACATCACAAGTGCGAACGGGCACGTCTCTTGCCCCGCCCACAGTCACCATCGCTCTGGATTCAGAGCTCCGCCATCCTGATTTCACCTGAGACTCCAGAGGTCTCGAATGCATCCACCGTGCCGCCTGACCCATGAAGCGTGGGAGAATGCCACATGCTGTCTGGTACGGTTTCTGCGAGTCTTCCAGGGGACCCACGCACACACACACACACACACACACACACACACACACTTTTTGGTCTGCGGGTCGAGAGCGAGCCTCTTCCGGTTTAGAGCTAGGCGGGCCGCGCAAAGCGCGCACACACACACACACACACACACACACACACACACACACACACACGCGCGCGCGCGCGCGCGCGCGCGCGCGAGCCTTCTACCCGCGGAGGTCTGCACGCAGCGCCTCCCATCCCGAGGCCCCGACCCCGCTCGAGAAAACATAGGCCGACGCTCTCGGGGCCACGAGCCGCGGCGCTCCCGCGGCCACGCCCCCGCGCGGAGAGAGGCGGGCCCGCGCTGCCGAGCTTCCGAGACGGCCGAGGCAGGCCACCGAGAAGGCCAAGATGGCCCAAGATGCAAAAAAAAAAAAATGGCCAATAAAGATTCAAAGAATAATCCCCAGGCTATGTTTTGACTATTTCTGAAAATTCCTCCTGTAGAAGGACAGGCTCGACTTAAGCCTACAGGTGCTTCACAGAACGGCACTCCCGTATCACGAGCTGCCACCCCGAAGATTCCGAGAAACCACGAGCAATCTGCGCACGGAACTGCCGTCAAGCACACACGGACGAGGAAAAAAACACACACTCCCACTGTGTATGTTTTTGTCCCACAATGTGTGTTGTTTGTGTGTGTGTGTGTTTTTGTTCCCCTAGATGGCCCCACGACGGCTCAGGATTGCTCCGGGACGGCCCGCCGGGTCCCCAACACTGTCCGAGAGGGCCCCAAGGGGACCCCCAGTAAGGCTCGAAGGGGCACCGAGCATTGCCGTCGGCTGCTGAAACATGACTGGCGCAATCACCGTTCTGCGCTTTCACCATCTCAAGACGGCCTTCGAGGCCTCAAACATCGCCCCAAGACGACACAAGGGGGCCCAGCATCGCCAATTTTCTGCTGAGGCAGCCTCGAGACGGCCCAAGAGTTGCGAATGCTATGACAATGGACAGTCTAACAATCCTATCATTGAATCAAACATGTGTTTAAAATGTGTAAAACATGTTCTAAAAATGTTTCAAAGGTGTTTTTACAGATTGAAAACATGTTTGAAACACGTTCTTAGCATCTGGGAATTGTTTAGCAGTATGCTTCCTCTCCATTAATCGTCCTCCACAACCCAAGAGGCTCTTGGCGGCAAAGGGCGGCCCCGAGAGGACCTCTGGAGGGACCCAAGGCGGCCTCGACGGCCCAAGGCGGCCCCACGCGGCCCCAAGGGACCGCCTGGACGGCCAGGATGACCCCCATGAGGATTAGCTCAAGTGGTTTCAATTGTTTTCTGACCAAAATTCACCGACCCTGGCTGAAACATGGGTAGATACCAAAAGGAAACGGACAGAACAAAGAAGAAGGTGGGGGGGGGCCAAGTCTCGAGCCTCTCCAGAACTGCCACTGAACCGCATGTGACCACACCCCAACCCCCCTGCCGAGCCGACCTCTCTGGCGGGACAACGCCGCCAAGGCTCCTCGCCACATCGCAAGGTGCAGAGAACCCCTGGAAAGCTTGCCGCGCCCCCGTGGGTGCAGCAGCGGAGGCCACCCGCCCCACCGCAGCCTCGCGAGGGGGCCACGAGGGGCCAGCAGTGGGCAGGAGGAACGAGGCGGCGCGCCACGGACCAGCCAGCCGCACCCGCGCTCTGCTGCGGCCACGCAGGGGCACCGCAGGGAGGCGAGCACGCGCACGGCGGCGGGAGTCCTGCCCTTCTGGAGCCCTGGGGAGGCCGCGGATGCGGATGCTGTGTCCTGCCCTCCCAGCGGCCGGAGGTCAGTGCGCACCACTCCGCGAGAACTCGTCGTCATCCCTGGGCACAACGTCGGACCCAGGACAGAGGAGCAGCCTTCAAGAACACGAGACCCTCCGCCAGCCAAGACACACAGAACGTTCAAGGGCATCCTCCCCGAGGATGAACAAGAGCGTCCCGCGAGCCCAAAGAACATCAGGGTACCCTCCCCGAGCCGACCTTGATCTTATACCTCGGTCCGGCCGTAACTCCAGGGCGGCGGATGCAGATGTACGCAGGCGGTGGGGCAAACAACCCGACAGGCAGCTGCAACGTCAAGGCAGAGTCGCTGAAGTGCGATAGAAACTCCAAGTGCAGCGACAACTGGCGGCCGGCATGGAAGTGCCGCCGCGAATCAGGTCTCTCTCCGGCTGCTGAATTCGACGGGCCGGAACAATGATGGCGTTATCGTGGCCATCCGTGGCGCTGGACTCTTGACCATCCGTCGTACTGCACAGTCCAGGGCAAGAGAAGATTCGATAGTGCATCACGCCCTCGGCTGGTAGATTTCGTGCGGGGTTCCTTCAACACCCTCCTCTTGCACAAGTCTCGATCTCGTTTTCAAGACATCTGGGCTCTCGCCCACCCACCCACCCACCCACCCCCACCCCCAACAAACAAAAAATCTTTGGCGGTTGGGTGACAGGGCATGCCTCAAGACAGCGGGATACCACGCGGGCGCTGTGATTTCTGACACCGCCTTCAGCCTGGCTCCGTTTGCAACGTCCACGGTGGTACCGCGTCTCCCGCCTGTCGCACCTGCAAAACTCGTGTGGCTGGGAGACTGGGAAAAGGGGGGATGAAGACGAGGCGGGGAAGCCGGACATCGGGCGTCGTGACAAACGACAACCAGAGCTGTCGACGAATCCATACTCATGCGAGATTGATCGAGCCAGATCTATCCGTCAGGGCCCAGGGGCACGAGCCAAGGCGGGAAAGGTCCATCGCAACCTCCTCCAACCTCCCTCAAGTGCGGTCCCACAGAGAATGGCAGGAAAACGCTGCATGCGGCGCCCGCCACGTCCATGGGTCTCTCTACACTCGCGCTGAGCCGCATAGAGCGACCAGAAGACGCCACCACGCCCGAGTCCTGAAATTACAATCGCACGCTATACAGCAAAGGATGAGTCGGGCGCGTAAATCCACCACTTCGGTTTTGTCACGCACAAGGTGGGAAACCACGAGCGCATCATGGCAATCTCGTCAACCTCGTCAACCTCCTCCTTGTCCTTCTCATCAAGCTCCCCCTCCCCCTCCTTCTCCCTCTCCTCCTCCTCTTCCTCCTCCTCCTCCTCCTCCTCCTCCTCCTCCTCATCCCCCTCGTCCCCCTCCTCCTCCTCCTCCTCCTCCACTTCCTCCACCTCCTCCTCCTCCTCCTCCTCCTCCTCCTCCTCTTCCTCCTCCTCCTCCTCCACCTCCGCCTCCGCCTCCGCCTGCTCCAACTCCTCCTCCGACTCCTCCTCCGAGAGAGAAAGAGAGAAAGAGAGAGAGAGAGAGAGAGAGAAAAGAGAGAGAGAGAGAGAGAGCGAGAGAGCGTCCAGGAAGAGAAAGCGCGACTGCTCCTGAGGCCGCCCCGCTGACAGCGCCAGGGCTCCCAGGCAGCCAGGAATGGAGGAATCAGCAGATGCGAAGACGTGCTCCGAGGCCCTATGATTAAAGGGGGCCAGGGAGACAGAAATAAGCAGACTCAGAATCCAGGATTCCCTGTATTTCCCGCATTCCAAAATTTCCGCCCCCCCCCCCCTGGGACCAGCACGGTTTTGTACTTCTGCCAGAGATGCGGACGCACAGCAGCCTCAGACGGACAGCAGTGAATTCGCTCTTGTGAGGCCCCGTCCAAGAAGAGGCTCGAGAATTTGAGCCGCATCCGCAAGAGCCTCTTTCCCTCTTGCGCGGGGCTTTGTGCTGCAAGTTCGAGGCTCCGCGAGGCACGTGCATTGGCCACTCTTCAGCAGCGTTTGCGCGCTGCTGGGTCGGGATCGGCCCCCGATAGCAAGTCCACGCCTTCCTGGGCCGGGTGGGGCCGTCGGGCCCCTGTCGGCGAGCAGTGGGCGACTGGGGGTCGAGGCGTCAACCCCTGTGCCGATCCTCCCCTATCACTGCCCCCGAACAAGGGGGTTAGGGGGGGGTAGGGGAGGGCTTCTTGGAGGGAGGCTGCCTCTCGGAGGGCGCAGGCCCCACGTCTGCAGAGAGGGCCGCTTCGGCTCCCTCCCCTTTCCCAGGGGAGGCCCTCGCCTCACCCGCCTCACCGGCGGGGGCGGCCAGAGGGCGCCCTCCCTCCTCGGGTGGAGAGCGCTGGGCTCCGCGCCGGGCCTCTCCGTCCCGCACGGCGTGCCTGCCAGAACGTGACGGTGGGGGCTCGGCCACAAGAAACCTCCGCAAGAAGCCCAACCCTGAGATCCGCGATTTGTTCAGTGAAACTCCCGAGTTGTCGATCGAAAATCACAAAGATCGTATCGGAGGCCCATCGAAATCCAAGAAACCCAGGGCACCCTGGCAGAATCCAACTGGTTTCTGGGCACGCGCCCCCACTGTACCAAATTCTTCTCCTGCTGCTCCTCTTCCATCCAGGAGGATCGGAGCTCTGTGGCGCGTGTGGCCCCCCTGCGGGCCGCCAGTGACCTCTAGTGGGTGCCAGAGGCCTCTGGAGGGCCCAGGGCCTTTCCCTTCCTCCCCATCGCCCGCTTCGCGCCTGCAAATAAATTGTCTTGAAATACTCATTAGGCTTGAACGTGAGGAGAGTCGGCTCGATCTGGTCGTACCTCCTTTCGGTGTCTTCTGTCTCCTGCGAGGTGGCATGCGCCCAGCTACAGGAGCAGGAGGGTGGTCGCGTGGAACGAGAAAATATCAAACTGCGGTGAATGATGCAGTTTGAGGAGTGGGCAGGAAGAGGGGAAGAATAGAGAGGACCGTGCTCCAGGGGAACCGCAAAGGAACAGATGGTATCGTGATAGCACAGAGGACAAACACAAACAAACACGGCGGCGGAAACAAACACTACTCTTCAGAGCTCCAGCAGGAGCATAAGAAAACAAGCACGTGCATGGACTTCGTGCAAAGAAAACCAGCAACAGCGAGACAGCATACGTCATGACGCGAGTTCAGCTCACTTGCTCTCTCTCTCTCTCTCTCTCCTTCTCTCTTTGTTTCTCTCTCTCTCTCTCTCGCCCACTCAGACACACGTACAGCTACCTGCTGTGAGCATTAGTGGGGCAATAGAATAGCCACACCCAGCAGATAGGGCCAAGGCAACGCTACACAAAAACAAAGCACACAAAAGAGATTGCAGGCAAGTCCTGTGCATACTACACAAGTGAATCGCCTATACTGGTACACCCTGCTAGCAGGCTGCCTGAGACACGCTACCAGAGATACGCTTGGGACACGAAACGCAAACACACACACACACACACACACACACACACTCTTGTTTGACAAGCGCGGCGGCAACAAACACACACACACACACACACACACACTGCCTCCAGCGGCATGTTGGCGGCACCGTCGCGCGTTCGAAGGCGGGGCACGCTTAGTTCAATTACCACCTGGGATGCGGGATGCGCATGGGTGGTCTGGATAGGGGCAAACGCCTGCAGAAAAACGCGAAAACTCGCATGAGCATGGAAAACGTCGAAGAGGTCGTGCAAGTCTAGGAGCATGCAGAGCACAACCAGCACAGCAAAGCAAGAGGCGGGTGAGGCGTGCACAAACCTTTGGAACCCGCAGCCCTGCTGTGAGGATGCGCCGCGAGAGCTCTGGCCATGCCGACGAGGGCTGGCATACAGTTTTTGACCTGCAGGGCGAGAGCGAACCTTTTCCGCTGAAAGCTAAGCGGGACGCGCACAGCTTTAATCAGCAGAGAAAGGGCGGAAGAGGGCTGGCATACAGGAAGAGGAACAGGCCCCACCCGCACAGCGGTGCGAGAGCAGGTGCTGCGTGCACCACTGCAGCCTGCAGCCCAGCTGCATGGGTGCGGCGCGGGAAGCCGTGGCCGTGCAGCTGGAGCGCCGGCAGAGAACGGCCGGCAGCGGCAGGCATGCCGCGCAGAGTCCGGTCGGGGAGGGACCGTGCCCCGCGCAGGCGGGGCACGCAGCAGCCGCAGGAGGCAGGGCGCTCCGGGGGCCGAGCCCCCCCCCCGCAGGCGAGGGCGCCCGAGGCAGGAGGAACGCAGGCCAGGCAGGGCGAGGGCGCCCGTGCCGAGCCAGGCGCGCAGAGGGACCCCCCCGGACCGAGGGGGCCCTCCAGATCCGCCGACGGGCGTGGCGGGCGCGGCGCGGGAACGCCACGGCTCCCGTGGGCGTGGCCGGAAGAGAGCTGGCGCCGACCCCGGCGCCGGCGCAGGCCAGGCGGGCGCAGGCGTGGGCGGCACCAGCGAGGGGGGCCTCCGCAGATCCAGGAGGAGAAGGGTGAAGGCCAGGCGGCCCAGCCAGAATGGTTGGGCCGGTCCTCGGGCCAGGCCAGGCGAGCGAGAGACGCTGGCGCAGACCCACCACGCCGACAGGGGAGCGCGAGTCGGGCTAAGGAGGCGCAAAATCAAAAGTCAAGAAGGGGGGGGAGAAGGCAGGAGGCGACGGGTGTGACCCGGCACCGAGAGGCGAGACCGAGCCCAGAGACCCGCCGCAAGAGTGGCCCCACGCAGGCACCCTGACCCCAGGGGGGACCAGGTACACCCGGCCAGGAGCCGCGGGAGTGTGGTGGCGAGAGCACGGCCGGCAGACGGCTGGCCGACGCGTGACCCAACCAGAGCACCTAGGGGCCGTACCCCCCAGAGCCAGGACAGGAGCGCGCCATCGGGAGATGTGGCGCGCCGCGCCACGAATTGATGGGAGCTAGCGGCCTGCACCCCGCGACAACGGCGGAGAGCTGACGCGAGTGGAGGCCCGCTGCGGGGAGGCTCCCCACAAGCGGGCAGAAGGCGGCAGCGTGAAAATCTGGGCGCGGCAGAGAAACAGCCAGCGCCAGCCCAGGCACCTGGGGGGGGGGGCCCTGGCCACCCGAGGAGAAAGGGGGGCAGGCCAGGCGCCATCCTATGCACGGCAGTCCTCCAGGCTGGGCCAGGCGAACGAATGCCGCTGGCGATCGCCAACCATGCCGGCAGAAAACCCGTGCGCCCGCGGAGAAAGAGGGCCAGGACCGCGACGGGCAGCCCGTGGGGTCCCCCCCCCAGTGCGCGCACGAGAGCGGAGGTGACCCGCAGCCCGCGGGGCAGCGCCGAAGAATCAAGAGCGGGTCGCCCGAGAGGGGCAGGCGAACCGGGGCGGCGGGTGCCGCAGCTCCGGGGGAGCGAGCTCGGGGAGATGGGCGGGGGGCCGACAGCTCACGTCCTGTCCCGTCCAGGGGCCGCCATCTCTCGTGCGCTGGGCACGCACCGTCAGCGAGGACGGCGCCGCTGCCGGAGCGCGAGGCGCACGAGCTGCTGAAGCGACCTCCAACAGGAAGGGCTCCAGGGAGGCCCGAGCGGACGCGCCACACAGGGGGGCGAGGAGGGGGCAGGCGAGGAGGAGGGGGGACGAGGGCAAGCCCAGCGGAGACCAGCCGCAAGAGCGGCCGGACACCGGCGCGGCCGAGAATCCCCCCAGGTGCCCCAAGCGAAACGGGGCCGGCGCAGGCGCGGGCGCATGGGCTGGGAGGGGGGGGGGCACTCGGGAGGGGCATGCAGCCCGCACCCCGCACGGCACGCAGGGTTGACCCAGAGGGCTGGGCATCGGGGCAAGATGCCAGTGGAGCGCGGAAAGAGACCCAGGGTGCCAAAGATTGGGGCGCGAAGCCCATCGAGAACTGAGAAAAGACCCAGAGGTTCGGGAATTGGGCACGAAGCAAAAAAAACGAAACAGATCGCGCTGGGCGCGTTGGCAAACGGGGTCGCTGGCAGGTGCCACCCTGATACGACGATGCGCCGGAAATGCGGGCCTGTGCGGGCCCCAAGAGGGCCCGAAGACGGCCCTGAGGCCTCGAAGACGCCCAAGATGGCCTCCGAGACAGCCCTGAAGCAGCCCACGAGGCCCCAAATCGGTTCAGAGAGGCCCCCAAGACGTCTTCCGACGGCGTCTTGGGGGCCAGGAACGCCCTAAGACGGCCAAATAAGCTCCCAAGCAGCCCCCAAGAGGCCTCCAAGAGGCCCCCAGGAAGCTCCCAGGAGGACCCAAGAGTGCCCCTCCTCCTCCTCCTCCTCCTCCTCCTCCTCCTCCTCCTCCTCCTCCTTCTCCTCCTCCTCCTCCTCCTCCTCCTTTTTCCTCCCTCTCCTCATCCTCCTCTTCCTTCCCCCACGTATTCCCCGAAGGGTTTCCACAACGGCTGGAGGAACGCATGGTCTAATAGCTTGGCCAAACTTTGCCCAAACGTTCGGCCACATAATTAGGCCTATCCTAAGAGACAGGGGGCGGCGGTGATTCGCCGCAGACGTCCCCGATTAGAGAAACAATAAATGACGAGAAGGAACAGCATACCATAAAATGGTCACGCTACGACCCGCCCAACGACCCACCATCGAGCCAACCTGTCCTTGAACTAGCCTGCCAACACACTCGACACACGGACACGACGCAAACATTTCAACCACACAGATTGCCTAAGGCGACTGCCAAAAGCCTCCTCCCCTTCGTCCTCCGCCTCCTTTTCCCTCTCCTCCTCCTCCTTCTCCTCCTCCTCCTCCTCCTCCTTCTCCTCCTCCTGCCTCCTCCTGCCTCCTCCTCCTCCTCCTCCTCCTTCTCCTCCTTCTCCTCCTCCTCCTCCTCCTCCTCCTCCTCCTCCTCATCCTCATCTTCATCCTCATCCTCATCCTCATCCTCATCCTCATCAGCAGCATCATCATGCTTCTCCTCCTCATCATCATCCTCCTTCCTTATCATCCTCCCTCATGCCTCCTCGAGGTAAAGCTCACAAATTGCTAGACAGGACAAATTCGTACAGAGCGTCCTGGAGCGTCACGGATCGGCAGCACAGGCTGAAGGACTCTACGATAACGACACGAGAAGGCGTCGGGAGAAGCTCGTGTGGTAGTGACGGTGGCAGTGGTGGTGGCAGTGGTGACTTTTGAAGAAGACCGAACGGCGGCATAAACATCAACCGTTGGAGGGTCCGAACAGACTTCCTGGGACCGTGCGAGTCTCTTGGGTCGGCGCCCCCAAGAGACTCGCACGGTCCCAGGATGATGATGATGATGATGATGATGAGGAGGAGGAGGAGGAGGAGGAGGCGCTAGAGGCGCCTCCCAGGAGTGTGGGGAAGGGGGGCGAGCGCCGACCCAGGAGAGTCCGCACGGACCACTGAAAGCTTACGTCTCCATCGCTTTCTGGTATGCGGGGCAGTGGTAGACGTCGGTCGGAAGAAGTAGGTAGAAACATGAAGTAGGAAGGCGGATATAGTAGATTGGGTCCAGGTCCTTCCAACAAATAACAGAACACAGCAAAAGCATGTCGATTCTTGAAGTAGGAAGGCGCTTGAAGTAGATTGGGATCTGGGAATCCAAAAATACCTACTTTCAACGACTGGCGTGTAGTGGTCCTGGTGGCAACGGTGGCTTGAATTCCGTGAGGGGTCCCCCATCGGACGAGAGAGCGGTAGCCACAGCGGCGGGCGGCCAGTGCGCCTCCTTCGTGCAGTAAGTCACGGAGCACTCGGTCTGCAAGCAGCCGATACGCATCACACCTCTGGGCGAAGGACACCATGGGACGAGGACGACCCAAACCCCACTGCGTCACGAAAAAACACGACTGGAATGCTGCCAAGTTTCTGTCCCTGGGGGCCCTTGCCAAGCCCCGGAACGATCAAACACGCCTCTGGGGAATTGAACACGATCAAGCCAAACTATGTTTCGACCACAGCTCTCAACAACAGGCGTCCACATACTTGCAACGAGGCGTGAAGGCGCCCCGTGATAGTTCCGTCAAATCTCGTACCGCTGGTGATGCGATGCTGTGAGAACCGGTCTGGGGGGGAAGATCCCGGTGTGCCGGGGAGCCACGTTCCTACGGCGTCGTCGCCGTCGCCGCCGCCCTCGTCGTCGTTTCTCGTCGTCTCGTCGACGGGGCCTGCCAAGACGGAGGCACTGGTCGGGCCGGGAGGAGGACCGAATTCGACGGAGGGGGCGAGGGTGGTCAACACAGGCGCAGCGCCATGCCCAGGGCTTCCCGCCCCCACGAGCCCTCGCGGGAGGGGGCTCGCCTTCCCGGCCGGCGCTCTCTGCCTGAACTGGACGGAGAAAGACAGACCGAGCACGCCGAACGAACGAAGCGAGCGAACGCACGACGGATCGAACGAAACGAACGAATCGTCCTCCGCCTCCTCCTCCCTCCTCCCTCCTCCCTCCTCCTCCTCCTCCTCCTCCTCCTCCTCCTCCTCCTCCTCCTCCTCCTCCTCCTCCTCCTCCTTCTCATCCTCGCTCCCTCCCTCCCTCCCTCCCTCCTCCCTTGCCCCCCCACCCCTTTCCCCTCCCCCCCCCCTTGGCTGGCAGGCGCACCGCCGCCGGCGCGCGGGCGTCCCGGACGTGCTCCGCCCGACTGGTCGTCTCGCAGGGTGGCTGCCCGCCAGCGCTGCTGCTGGAGCCCGTCGGAGCGAGTCCCGGGCCGCATCCAGGGCCAGGGGCGATCGACTGCACGCAAGAGTGACCCCTGGGCAAGAGTGACCTCTTGTGCGCGGTTCACCGGGGGCCGCTGGGGGACCAAGCACGAGCGCGCAAGACGCAAAATGCAGCATCGCGTTCGGCGATCGGGCGGCCCCCTTAGGCCCGCACCACAGGTCACTCCAGCGAAAGGTCACTCTCGCGTGCAGTCGGGGCGAGCGCTCGAGCTGAGCCCCCCGTGGCTGGGTCGCCGGCGCGCTCACCACCCCCGCCGCCGGCCTTGCCTGGCGCGGGCGAGCGCGCGCCTCGCGAGCGCGCACGCGGCGGGGCCTCGTGATCGCTGCGGCCCAGGCGCCGCCCAGGCGCCCCTGGGGACCCGGGCCCGCGCATGGGTGCAGCGTGAAGTCGGGCGTGTCCTCCCAGAGGCGGGCTTTGGGCGGAAGAAAATTACCCTACAGATATTCCAAGAGAGTCCCTAACAAATACTCGAAAAATCGCCCCCAGACCATTTGGAGACCATGTTTGAATGCTCCTCCTGCAGAGGGACAGGCCCGATTCAAGTCTAGCGACGTCCGGCCCATGGAGCTGCGCTGCGTCGCCGCACAACGAGGCGACCAGCGTGCCACCGAGACCCGCGAGCGAAGCCAGCCCTGGAAGTGCTCGAGGCAGGCAACTCGTGCAGCGTCGTCCAGGAGAGGCCCCCCGAGAGGCCGTTGCAGGTATCTCCACGGATGCCCTGAGAAGCTCCAATATGACTTCAGAAAAACCGAACTGCTGACACAGAAGCCTGCGGATAAGCTCCAGAAGGCTTCATGGCACCCCCGCAAAGCCCAGACCGCGTCTTGAATGCCCAAGAGGCCCACACGAAGCACTTACACTACCGCGAGGTGAGACGTCCCAGAAGACCCGTACGAAGCGGCAAGGGCCCGAAGGATTGGTTCACGCTTGTTCCAGGGCTGCTCCGACAGGGCTGACCAAAGCATCGGAATGAATCCGCGAGCATCGGAAACAGCCAATAAGGCCCCAAGGAGCCAACAGGAGGGCTTTGGACGATCACCCATCTACGATTCACAATGGCGTCGATGCCCGATGCACTTGCTTGCATGATCTTGCAGCCAGAATGGCCCCGAGCTGCTGCAAGCAACCTCGAGGAAGCACCGAAGGAAGCATAATAGTCCCCCGACGGACGTTGGCTTTGTGTCCGAAGCCCGGGGGGCGGAAGTGGCCAAAGATCTCCAGACGTTGAAATAAAAACTCCATACCTCACATGAGGGACCGAGGGAAGGCAGCGTTGAAGTCCAGCCGCCGCCGAACCAGACAAAGCCGAAGAGCCCCCAGCTACCTGGCGCGCGTCACTGGTGAGCTAGACCAGGGCTCTAGAGAAGCAGCGGCTGAAGGCCTATTTCCACTTTTGCTTCTTTCTCCTCCACGTACGCCACGCCCGTGGTAAACTGCACGATGCTGCGACGACTGCAGCGGAAGAGGGGAAAAAGGCATCAGGAGAACAACATGGGAGAAAGCGTAAAGGGAATGAGGGGGGAAAAGGCAGGGAATTGATGCCAAAGGGGAGCAGGAGGAGGGAGAAGAGGGAGGGCAAAAGGAAGAGGTGCGCACAAGGGCATTGGAAAAGGGGAACGGCGCTGGGAGGGTAACCAGAGGAAGATCCAGAGGTGCGTAGGAGAAAGGGGAGAGCAAGAGGGCGGAGGAAGCCGGACGGGAGCAAGTGCCCGCGGTGCCAGTTTGCACGCCGGGGTGTGCCAGCACGTGGTCGGGCGGCGCAGACGGGTTGCCTCCTTGCTGCGCCAGTGACACTCCCTGGCCGCTGTCCCCTCTAGCGGGCGAAGCGGTATAGGACAAACTGTTCCCCCGTCGGGGGCGCCTGTCCCTGGGCGGCTGGAAAGGCTCTGCCCCTGCGTGGCACCTTGGGGGGGGGGGACAAACTCTGCGGCCGCCTGGTGGGGGCGGGCGTCCCCGACGGCAGCAGCGTCTACTCTTTTTGTTTCCTTCTGCGCCCCTGCCGCGTCGCTCTGCTTGTTATTTTCGTTCTGCGCCCCTGCCGCGCCGCCCCGGCTGGTCCCCGCGCCCGCTGGCTTCCAGGCGCGGCGGCCCTGCGGCCCCCCTGCTGCGCAGCTGGCGCCGGCCGGCAGGGCGCCCTCGCCCGCCCCGCCCCCCCCGCGCCTGCGGCGGGACGCCCCGCCTCGCCGGCCCTGGGGCCCAGACCGTCCTGCCGCACCCGGCTGCGCTGTGCGCACCGGCCTGGGTCCCGCGCTCTGCCCCTGCCTCCCGCTCCCGCCCTCGCCGGGGCTGCCCCTCCGCCACCTGCGGCATCGTGCCGCCCGCTGGCGCGCTGCTGCGCAGCAGCCCCGCCTCCCGGCAGCCCTGCTGGTCTAGGGGGAAAACAAACCTACC